AGAGCAAGCAGATATAGCATCTATATAATTGGAGTCTCTTAAGGGAAAGCGGTCTACTTTTTGTGACCCCATGGGCTGTAGCTGCCAGGCTCTTCTGTCCATGGAATTTTCCAGGCAAGAATACTGGAGTGGGTAACCATTCCCTTCTCCAAGGGATCTTCCTGACCCAGGGGTCAAGCCTGGGTCTCCTGCATTGCAAGCAGATTATTTACCATTTGAGCTACCAGGGAAGTCTGAGGAAAAACAAAGTAGAATAAATGTGTTAGGAAAATTTTCTTAAAATAAGTGGAGATTTATAATATGTTAATAAAATGCAGTAAAAATAGACCCAAGTAGGTTTACACCAGGACTTACTAAAATATTAGACTTGAAATATAAAAGAAAGAATTCTTGGAAAGCAAAGAATTACAAGCAAAAAAGCAAAAAAATGACATCATTTATCTAGGGAAAAATATCCATATGACTTTAGTCATCTCTGTAGCAGTATTGTATAAGACAACATTTTCCAGTATTTTCAAGGAAAATATGAACTAAGAATTTTTATATTTAGGTAAATAGTTTTTATAGTGTAAAAGCTAAAGATGAACATATTGAATTTGCAAAAATTGAGAGGAATTGTTCCCATGAGTCCTTTTTTGAAGAAACTTTGTGAGTATTTGGAGAAGGGAATGGCAACCCACTCCAGTATTCTTGGCTGGAGAATTCCATGGACAGAAGAGCCTGGCAGGCTACAGTCCAAAGGGTCTCAAAGAGTCAGACACGACTGAGTGACTAACAGTTGTATTAATTTCAGCCGACCAAGAGATTGTTGGGAATACTGATGAGTTTTGAATACATTTAAACTGTAGAACTGAGATAGAAAGAAATGTGAGGATTAGGATGACAGAACAGAATGTAAACATTATATGCTCTCACAATGTAGAAATGATACATCTCACAATAACTGAGTTGAAAAAGGGAAGGAAGGTGTGAGGTAGAGTAAGTTCATTAATTTCTTAAGCTATAATAGCTGGGAGTCAAAGCTTATCAGTTTAAGCAGCCAAATTGAGTAATAGAAGAATGAGCGTATTTAATAGTACATGAGTAAACTCTGAGAGAGAAAATTATTGACTAATATTAGGTGAGGAAGGAAGAGGAAATATGCTAGTTTTAAATATTGTTCATTTGGAATTTTTATTGACTGAAAACAGAAGAAAAGTCCTATGGTTATATGGATTACCAGTAGAATAAAAATTACCCATACAAAGAAAGGGACATCAGCCGTATTTGATTTGGTAAAATTTTAAAAATTAAATTATTATAACAGAAAGCACAATTAATGTGAAGTAAATATAAATAAGCACTTCCCTGGTGGCTCAGTGGTAAAGAATCCACCTCCCAATGCAGGAGACGTGAGTTTGATCCCTGGGTTGGGAAGATCCCCTGGAGAAGGAAACGGTAACCCACTCCAGTATTCTTGCCTGGAGAATCCCATGGACAGAGGAGCCTGGTGGGCTACAGCCCATGGGGTCACAAAAGAGTCTGACAAGACTTAGTGACTAACAATAACAACAAAGTATAAATAAACTTATATCAATGAATATAAGTGGGTTTACCTCATCTAATAAAAATAATTCAGACTTAGGTCACATAGCTTATGAAATAGACATTGAAAATAAAAGGATGAGTAAAGGTTTATAGACAAATATAAATAATAAAGAAAGTAGGGTTTCTGTTTCTATTTAAAGAGAGAGTTCTGGACCAAAAGTTTGAAATGAAATGAAATATTGGCTTTTTATTGCCAAAGGATACAATTCACAATGAAATTAAAATTGTTATGAATATTCATGCATTAAATGAGTGTATCCATATACTTATAGAAAAGAACAAAAGAAAAACTTATTTGATAGTAAGAAATTTTAATTTACGTCTGGGTCATGACAGATCAAAATATGAAACAGAACATATAAAATAAAAAATATAGCAACATTCTAAAAAGCATAATGAGGACGATTTAAAGGGTACATTTAGAACCCTGTATTCTGAATATAGAGACTATACTATCTTTTCAAGAACATGTTAAATATTTTTAAAAATTAACCTTTAATTATATAAAAATGGTAACAAATTTATAAAATAGGCACAATTTACTAATACTAGAAATCGGCAAAGCTCTTGCTTTCTTAATTAACTTTTGTGTAAAAATAAAATTTCAGAATATTTAGGAAACAGTGATGAAAGTACTACTTATGTACTATGCCAAAGTAGTACTCAAATGAAAACACATAAACATATATATATACACATACATATATACAAAACCACTTACTTAAACATTGGAAAAAGAACAATAAAATAAATGAAGGCAAACAGAATAAGAAATTAATAAAGATAAACATAGAAATTGAGTTAGCAAAGCTATAGTCTTGAAAATTAATCCAGAATTACCTATCTGTTTAATTTTTTTAAACCAGTCGGCTAACATTCATGTCCAGGAATTTATCTCTCTCTATATGTGTATATGTGTCAAAGCTATGGTTTTTCCAGTAGTCATGTATGGATGTCAGAGTTGGACTATAAAAAGGTGAGCACTGAAGAATTGATGCTTTTGAACTGTGGTGTTAGAGAAGACTGTTTAGAGTCCCTTGAACTGCAAGGATATCCAACCAGTCCATCCTAAAGGAAAGCAGTCCTGAATATTCATTGGAAGGACTGATGCTGAAGCTGAAACTGCTATACTTTGGCCACCTATTGCGAAGAACTGACTCATTTGAAAAGACCCTGATGCTGGGAAAGATTGAGAGCAGGCAGAAAAGGGGACGACAGAGGATGAGATGGTTGGATGGCATCACCGACGCAATGGACATGAGTTTGAGTAAACTCTGGGAGTTAGTGATGGACAGGGAGGCCTGGTGTACTGTAGTTCATGGGGTTGCAAAGAGTCTGAGCGACTAAACTGAACTGATATGTGTATAAAATAACCCATGACAATGTTATTTATTGCAGCATTGTTTATAGTAGTGGAAGTGTGGAAGCTACCTAAGTGGGCATTAGTAGTGGAGCAGATAAGTAAATTGTAGCATGTCCATGTAGTTCTACAAAAGGAGGGTGTTCCTAATAGTGTGATGTGGAAATATTCCAAGATATATTGTAAAGTGAAAAACCCAAAGTCCAAAATAATACAACAACTTTGTGTGAAGGTGTGAGGGGGTGGGTATAAGAAGGCATATTCAACTTTGCTTATATTTGATAAGATAACTTTGGGAAGAAATTGAGTAGCCCATTACCTGGTAAGAAGGGGAGAGTAGGAACTGAGAGAATAGGTACAAATTGGAAGGTGAAATTTGGGGTAATTTTTATTTTGTGAACCATATGAATGTTTTACCAATTCAGTCGACTTAGAAAATGAATGAAAATTAAAAATGAATTCCTTTAAGGAAATAGTAGAGCCAGGGTATTCTTATTGTAGGCTATGCATCTTCTCTCTATCATATTTTTAAATTGAGAGACAGAGAATATAGCCAGGTATTCTTCTAAGAAAAATACCACAAAGTACATGCAAATAACTTTCACAGACCCAAGCTCAACACATTTTATAACCTCAGTCATAATACTAAGGCCATTTGCTGTGTTTCTTGTGTGTCTGACACCTTGAATTTCTTGAGAGCCTTTAAAAATGTGTCACATGTACATTCCACCCTTAGGACTTGAAAGCTGTCGGCCTGTCTTCCCCTACCCCATTTGTGGTTCTGTCTTCTGATTATTAACATCTCTTTAATTGTAAAGCAAAGGTAGAATAAATAAATGAGTAGAACTGACTCAGTTTAGTTTTGTTGTATGACAGGTGACCCTCATGTAATTGTTGGCAGGATGCTCTCTAAGACACAGAAGAGAGGAGGGACAGAACTAATATGTACTGAGATTTTGCATACATTTTTGCATTTGGTCCTCAGCACTGTTTAGGTGGATAAGTAACCTTCCTTTGAATAGGTGAGGAAACTGAGGCTCAGAAAGTTCATCAGAACAAGAACTAAACCTCTGTCTGTCATCTCCTAATTTTCTAGAAATGAGAATGAGAAACAGAGTAATATCATTATTATTGTTGTTCAGTCGCTCAGTCATGTCTGGCTCTTTGCGATCCCATGGACGATAGCCCCCCAAGCTTCTCTGTCCATGGGGATTCCCCAGCAAGAATACTGGAATGGGTTGCCATGCCCTATTCCAGGGGATCTTCCCTATCCAGGGATTGAACTGGGGTCTCATACGTTGCAGGCAGATTCTTTACCAGCTGAGCTACCAAAGAAGCCCTCCAGGAATTTGCTCAAACTCATGCCCACTGAGTTGATGATGCTATTATATGACAAGCATAAATAGGGTCTCTTTCTACTTCACCACGTTTGCATTTTCAAGTAATGCACAGTCATTGTAAAAAAATCTGATGGAGTTCTAGTCAAGAGGAAGACCAAGAAAAGAATAGTCAAGAGGAGTGTATAAAGAAGTGAAGAGAGGGGAAATTTGAAGAGGAAGAAAGAGAAAACATGTCTTTTAAGTGAAATTGGTACCTCAGGCTAAAATGGCGTATTTGGGGATTATTCCAGGCTTTTTGTCTGTCCTACATTGTTTTGATGTTTGATGACTGGGCACAGTATTTTCTCCTGAGAAAGTGAAATATTTGAATGAGATCTTTTGGCCAACTCACTTTTAGTTAACTCCTTTCCCTGTAACTTGGTGGAGCTAGCTTAGCCAGTTGGCCATTTCATTGAGTCTTTGTTGCTGATAAGAAGTACAAGCATTAGAGTGAGATTTATATTTTCAGTGTTGTTTCATAATGAGTAGCTTTTCTTTTCCTAAGTGGTTGTTTTTGTTCATGCTGCCGATGGAACGCCTTGGTCCTCAGTATTCAATACAGCAATCTAAGTAGTGGATAGAAAATACAGGGAAAACAATTATCTCCAGTATAGACAAGGGCAGATCTGTTTATAGTGAAGATGAAAATGTTTTCCTGGTACCTTGTTTCATAGCATCCTGATGAAAAGAGATTGGAGGGCCTCTCCAAGCAGCTGGACTGGGATGTCCGCAGCATTCAACGCTGGTTCCGACAACGACGCAACCAGGAGAAACCAAGCACGCTGAAGAGGTTCTGCGAGAGCATGTGAGTTGCTGTTTATCTTTTTGAAAGAAAAACCTGTTTAACTTATTCATTCCATCCCTGAGGTGAAAACTAATGGCTTGATGCAGGCTCCAGCAGGACTCCCCCCCGCAAAAAAAAGCATGCCTTCTGGTGGAAAAAAGTAGTCCCTGAAAAACTGGGGGATAGTAGTTTGTCAGAATTTGTGATTTCTACATCTGGTGCAGTAAATGAAGTTTGCTTCCTAATGGAGTTTCAACACAGCAGGCAGATTACAAGGCCTACAGTGGTATTTTCAGTCAACTACCTTTGAAATGCAGCACAAAAAGCCATTACTTTTATATTTTGCATTTTAATAGGGGGACTTTGTCACGATGTTCTTTCCACTGATAAAAGCTGAGATACTAGGATATATTATCAGAGCGTCATGATAATGTCCTGTCTTCCTGGAGTTTTAAGAAATGGCTATATTATATTCTTTGGTGAGTTTAATGAAGCATTGCTTGAAGTGGGGGTGGATTGAAAGTCTCTTCCATTTCTGAAATGTGAACTTTTTGATGTGTAAATTAGAAGTCAATAAAGCTGTTAAAAATAGTAAAAGACCTGCGGAGAACTCTTTGAGCACAGTGTTATTTTGAACTAGTAACATTCAAAACCCATGTCTGAGAAAGAAATATTGAAGCTTCAAGCACATCCCCAACAAAGGCAAAATTCTGGCTCGAGACTGGTTGCTCTATGTGGTCTTCATCCTTTGAGATGAGACTGTGCCTTTGTCCACCAGTGCTTTTTTCTTTGGGAGCTTTTTCCTGACACCTGGTCCCTTAAACAATAATGCTGTCAGTATAGCTCTTTCCTTTTGGGGTCGAAGTTGCATTTTCAAGTTTAGCTTTCAATTATGCTGAAAAAGTATGTTAACAATTGCAATCTGAAGCTTAGAGGGAAACGTAATATTTTGGGAGAAATGAATGAGAGGCAGAATAATATCATAAATCCTCAGGCTGGATAAATATGGGAAACAAACAGGGTCTTCAGAAGGTCAGAATATTTATAAAACCTGGACAAACAACCTAGCGGATAGAATATGCAAAGCCCTTCCTATAATTGAACTAGTGGCAGTTTATGGAAGAAGGATTTATGGATCTGGGCTCCTGATCAAAAGCTGGAATAGCTTCCTGGTTTGGTTGTGCCACATGCACAAAGGGCCTGGGCTCCATTGCTGAGCCGCAGGTCTGAGTAGAGGTGAGGAGGGCTTCTGAGGTGGTGCTATTGGTAAAGAATTGCCTGCCAGTGCAGGAGATGCAAGAGACACAGCTTCGATCCCTGGATCGGGATTGTCCCCTGGAGTAGGAAATGGCAACCCACTCCAGTATTCTTGCCTGGAAAATTCCATGGGTGGAGAGCCCTGGTGCGCTACAGTCCATGGGGTTGCAAAGAGTCAGACCGACTGAGCACCCACACAGACAGGGTCTAGGCGCATGGCCATGGGGTGAAATTCGTGTGCCAGCTTCCTTTCCTTCAACATCTTTGGTGACTCGGTGCAGTCCCTTTCCATTCTATACTGAGTCAACACCACTTTCTGTGCCAGTATGCATAGGAATCAGTCACCTGGATCTTGTTAAAATGCATCTGATTCAGTTGCTCGGTCTGGGATAGTAGCCAAAATTGAATATTTAACAAGTTCCCAGGTGATTCCACTGGTTCACTGACCACATTTTGAATAGCAAGGTTAAACAGTGTACCAGTGTCTTCTTCCTGAATTCAGCTGGATTTTATCTGCATACCACAGTCACCTGGATGGTCATGGTTATAATCAGTTAAAAGTGTTTTTAAATGATTACTAGAGACTTAGTAATGTGAAAGCACAGTACGGGTGGGTGGTGCATACATTACTGATTAGGATCTCCTCCCTCCAGAAGCTTCACATGATAGTGTCAAGGGGATGGGACAGAATATCTGAGTATGTGTGGATCCATTAGAGATACTAAGAAATAAATGTGTATGTGTTCTGTATGGTTGGTATGGACAGGCAGTAAAGATTAAAGGAGAAAGATCAGCTGTGGGTTAGGGTATAAATCAGGGTTCCTGGGACTAGAACAGTCTGTACCTGTGGCGTTGGCCTCTCCTTTGTTGAACTTTGCTTTGAAACTCTCTTCTTTCTTGACTGCTGAGTTGCCACCAAATTTTTACTCCTGCCTTTCCGAGGGCCTTTGCACCATTTGTTCTGCATTTTCACTGGGTCTTTAATGGGCTACTTCTCCAGATTTGACCTTTATTTTTCTCATTCTATCTTCTACCTTCTCTCCCTTCATCAGCATCTTCCAAAATTATGTGTCCAGTGCAGAGATTTCTTCTGCCAGCATCATTCTGCTGTCTCCCACTGGCAGCTCTGATTTGCTTTCATGTCTGATTTCCCTCTTTCTCCAGTTGTTTGTATGCCTCCATTCTGTTACAACTGGAAACTCAACCCAATTAGCCACTCCCATTGGTTCCATTAGTTCTTTGTAAAGCCAACTGCTATGGTGCTGATCCTAATTCCCCTCCTAGGTCTCTTATTTATCTCATACTTACAAATTTTTTTTTTGCTGCAAAAAATTATAGTTTCCTAAAATACTACTGTGTCCATGATCTGTTGGTTTACAACTTAATGATTTTTCTGTAAGATAAATCTTGTAGATAAATCAAGAGCCTCTTGATGAAGGTGAAAGAGTAGAGTGAAAAAGCTGGCATAAAACTCAACATTCAAAAAAATAAGATCATGGCATCCAGTCCCATCACTTCATGGCAAATAGATGGAGAAACAATGAAAACAGTGACAGATTTTATTTTCTTGGGCTCCAAAATCACTGCAGATGGTGACTGTAGCCATGAAATTAAAAGATGCTTGCTCCTTGGAAGAAAAGCTATGACAAACCTAGACAGTTTATTCAAAAGCAGAAACATTACTTTGCCAACAAAGGTCTGTATAGTCAAAGCTATAGTTTTTATAGTCATGTATGGATGTGAGAGTTGGACCATAAAGAAGGCTGAGTGTTGAAGAATTGATGCCTTTGAATTGTGGTGCTAGAGAAGTTTCTTGAGAGTCCCTTGGACAGCAAGGATGTCAAACCAGTCAATCTTAAAGGAAATCAACCCTCAATATTCATTGGAAAGACTGATGCTGAAGCAGAAGCTCCAATATTTTGGCTGCCTGATGTGAAGAGCTGACTCATTAGAAAAGACTGTAATGCTGGGAAAGATTGAAAGCAGCAGAAGGGGACAACAGAAGATGGGATGGTTGGATGATATCACTAACTCAATGGACATGAGTTTAAGTAAGCTCCAGGAGATAGTGAAGGACAGGGAAGCCTGACGTGCTGTAGTCCCTGAGGTCAGAAAGAGGCAGACATGGCTGAGTGACTGAACAACAACAATATCTTAGGTTCTTTAATCTGAAAGCTAGAGCCTTGCTTTTCTTTGGTATTAGCCACCCAAATGAGCCCTTTCCTTCTAGAGGGCTGTGTTTTCACTGTCCACTCCTTGGTCATTCCTGCCTCGGTTTGTGATATGTTCTTGGATTGAAACACCTGCATTCCTCTGCCACACCCTTTTATCCAGGTTTTATTCTTCAGACCGCACGCCTTCTCAGTAATCTGCCATGACACTTGGATCTGGAGTAAGCACTAGTTCTTCTGAATTTTCAGAGTTTTTATTAATAGTGAATCAACATGCTTTGTTTATGTGAATATTTAGCTTTTCTTAGCTTGTCTGTATATTTTCACCCTAATTGTGTCACATGTGCTCCTTGAGGACTCAAGAATTGCATCTTGTTTTTCTTACATTCTTCTCAGCCTTTATTACAACATATAGAGTCTGCTGAGTAAGTATTTTTTAAGTGACTGTATGTTATGAAGGCATTATTTTGGAATGGTTTGCTGATCTAAGTTGGCATCCTGCCTCCCCAAATGAAGAGTGCCTAATATAGACACCATTTGGCTTAAAATTTGTCTGGGAAAATTACTGAACAATGAGCCAATTTCAAAGACAAGAGTTCAGAGGAAAGATTGAGGTGGCAAAGGAGAATATTTAGACAACACCTTGAAGAATTAAGCAAAATTATATTTGTCTCTGTGTACAGATGTGTATGTCATAGTTATTTGTTCGTCAATATAAAAGATGATCTGAAAAGCTTCTTCTTAATCAGGGATGCACTTCACAGGCACCTGCTCTGCTTTTCGAAACACACACGCCTCGGCCCCACCTCAGGATGTCTTATTCAGTATGGTGACCAAGTGAAGGCCTATCTTGGAAAGAATACCCTGAATACTTATAATAACACATCCCTGGTTAAGAAGCACTAATCTCTGAAAAGAGATGACTGCTTTTCAAAAGTACTAAAATTCAAATTTGCAAGACAGCACAGATTTGGGGCTTGTGGATCTCTGCTCAAATGTGAAGATTCTATAGTTTTTCTGTTATGTAAGTTATTATTTTGGAAACTATCGAATCCCTTCAGGGCAGCATGCTTCGTCTTTTAGCGGTGTCAAGCAGCACTGATATGCATGCCAGACAGCGCTGGTAGCCATCTGTTGGCCTGTCCAATTTTTGGCACGCCCATTTAATACAGATGGACTGAGTAGAAGTTGTTCGGCAAGTAATGTGTTGAAACATTGATGTGGCTTTTTTTCCTTCATGCTTGATGTCAGTCATCAGCAGCTATGTTAGTTTTGATGACTATTTCTTCCAGAAGCTTTTAAATCCTTATTGGCAACTGAAATAGAGATTTTCAAGAGTGAGCAAACAATTTATAAAAAGGAGATGACACTTATTCTGAAAGTTTTATTTTTATTGAAAATATTATTTATTTTTATATTATCTTGATGCAGTTGCTAGTGGAGGAAGGCAAAGTTTCCACAGATTCAAACCGTGGATCCTCCGGCTAAAAGCTCCCACTGAGAACCAACAGGTTTCTCCTAAATTGAATTGGGTTGCAGTTTGCTCCATATGGATTCTTGTAAGATGAAGGCCTGAGGTTGTCTTTTCTCTGT